TCAGTTTTTATTCACAATTTGTTTAGTGTCCCAACTTTTTTGGAATCTGGTTTGTATAACAGGGTTATACAATGTTGTTCTTTACATACATTAATCATAACCACACTACTGAATGAAGTTCTTCAAAAAGGTTTCATATCTTGAATGTGACTCTCTGCAGAAACAACTCAAGAGACTTATTGTTTCAGAGGAGAAGGTGGATCTAAAGAAGTCCAGACTGTTGAACATTTACTCGAGTTTAACTGCTCGGCTTTTAGGAACTGAGAGCAGTGTTTACCTTTCTGTCTCATCTGTAGCCAGTGGCCATTTTAGCTGTCAGTGAACTTTTCACTTACTGTACTTTTCGCTGTATATGTTGCACCTTTTTGCATAAGTTAGCATGCACTGCAACTTATACAGTGAAGCGACGTATTTATGTTTTTTTCCCATATTTATAACAAATTTTTGGCTGAGATCTGATGATTTCATTCATTCTGACAACACTACCATTTTTAGCCACTAGAGGGCCCTCCAGTAATATGGCAAGCCAAGTGTCTCATTAATAGGTAAAAGTGGCTATTAATGAGAAACTTGGCTTGCCATACTAGCCACCTTCGTCTCGCTCCTGAACTCCTGGAGCAAACGTCAAATCAGCTGCATTTCGCTGCACCGCCCAGGTGAAATGCAGCTCCTTGTTAAAGTCCTCCCGTGCACGCTCCCGCGGCCGCCATTTGGCAGCCAATCGATTTTTGGCACAACGCTGGCCCACATTTCCAAGTGGTCAGCGGTGGCTCATAATAGATGCGACTTATATAGCGGTGCAACTTATTTATGGATTTGTCCACTTTATTAGACATATTTGGACTGATGCGACTTATATGGTGGTACAACGTGTACGGCGACAAGTACGGTATTTCCAAAATGGTGACAATATTTTTTTTTCTATGTGTGATGCTGTTAGTAGTTTTCAGGAACGTTTGAGGCTGTTTGGTCTTTGGAACATCAGTATAGTCTCATCGCCTGGACATACTTGAGAACTTGAAACTGTTTATTGTCACTAGAAGATAAAGATACATTAGAAGAAGAAAGCCTAATTGCTACATTTACTTTAATAAATCACCAACAGCGCTGCAAGCTCAAGGGGTTCATCTTCTGTTATCTTGTGCTGATGAAGTAATTACAGCGCAATCACACAAATGTGATCAATCAAGACAAGTTGCAAAATGAAGATAACAAGATAAATGTGACAAAAACAATCTACTGTGAGTGTGTGTGGCAGGAACAGTCCAAAATAGCTGATGTCAGTTTAAATAAAAAGACATTACTTGACGCTCTTTGCTGTAATGAAACCATGTGGTTGTGTCATTAGTGTGAACGTTAACACTCTCAGTCCTTCTTCCAGCGTGTGAGTCAGACGTTACAACCAGAGGAGGATAGAGCTGATGTTGAACTGAACTTGTGAAAGTGAGAGAAATGGGGAAAGGTGTGTCACTTTCATAGCATGTGTTTAGTAGACTGATGGGAAACACGGGGGGGGGGGGGGGGGGGTTCGCACATCCCGACACATGGATGCTGCTGAGAACGACAGCCCTCATGAGAGCACGACCACTTTTGAAGTCGGCTTCAAAAATGTCTGAAAAGTTTTTGGATGAGAAATGGATGAAAAAGTGTCATTAGCTACATAAAAAACAAATAAAATAAAATCCATTATAATCACATCTTGATGAAACACGTTAGCCTTTTCACCTCTTTGACGAGAGGTTTAATGGAGAGGTCATGAACAGTTAATATCTTACCTGCTGGAGGTAGTTCTTTGAACAACCTCAGCTCGGAGAAACAGAGTTTAATTGTGACAGGACTGACAGCTCATCTGAGCATGACTAAGAACAAATTACAAAAACAGCTCCAATCTAAAAAAAATATGCACTTCTGGCAAGAACATCATAATATTTCAGGTGGAATAACCATAAAATGTGAAACTTACATGGAAGTAGAAAAGCACTGGACAGAACGACAAATCAGTCTGGACCCATATTTTGCATGGGAAACAATGAAGTGCAGGTTTACCACTGGTACACAAGTGGTGTGGCTTCTTTAAGGGTGCAAACAGCGAGAACAGGTGATATGAGCACGAGCATGTGTTCATAGGCTCCATGTGAGAATCGAAACCCATGGCCGAGGCAGTGAAAATCAGCTATAAAAGGCTGAATTTCTTTCCGATAAACAATGATGGCTGCAGCCACAGCAGTAAACTCTGTGACACTTCATGTCCCAAGCTGTCTTAAGTCTGTCCTTTATCTGTGTCATTATCAGAAAGGCAGCAGTGAACAGTGTGAGTCTGCATTCTCAGCAGTAACTGCAGTAAAAATCTCAGTGAAGCCACTTTCCAAATAAACATTTGAGTCAGTTTCTCTGTCAGGCAACATCTGTCACATCAAGGTTTGGGCAACCAGTCAGTGCCATTTTTCACACTAAGCTGCTCTGTGTTTGAACTCTTTGGGCATCAGTAACTTTCACCTCAGTCCTTTTTATGCCACAGTGTCGTTGCCTTTAGGTTTAGTTTGTTTAATATGTTTATTCACGTGTGAAAACAAAAACATTTTAGTTGTTGAGGCATGAAAAGTGATACATTTGATCAAATTTAATTTATACTTTCTTATAAAGCTACAGTACACATTAGGTTTTAGTAAAGTTCTGTTTAGGTTGTGGGCAAGCTGTGCCACTTCTTTTAGTTGTAAGCCCAAAGGATTTTCTTATAGCTTGTCCTTCTGGACCTTTGACCTTATCTAGAAATCAAAATTGCATCTTTGAATGTAAAGTTTAAGAACCACCGGTGTAAAGGTTCAAAGAATCGGATTTGCATGAAACCCTATGATGTTTTTAAGATTGGAGCTTATCAATCCAGTCAGAAGGAAACTGTGTTCCCCACAAGTGAGGCTGTTCAAAGAACTATCTGCAACAGGTAAGACATTAATTGTTCATTTCGCAGCACCCCACTTTGAATGATCCGAAGTAGGACAAACCTGATGTTTAATGTAAAATATTCAAGGCTGGTTGACAGTATAAACAACTAAAAAGTTTTACCTGTTAGAGTTTTATAATCAAGCAAATCAAACAAGACGACGGCCACAGCTGACCACGTGATGATCAGAGCCACAATCAGCAGCCAGGCCATCGGTGAAGTGAAGGTTAAGATGACATCATCCACAAATGTCCTCTGGTTGGACCGGGACGGAGGGGCCACCTCCACGCTGCTGCTCTGACCAGTCATTGGTGAACGGAGCTGGGGGGGCGGATATAAAAACAGAGAGCTCATGTTGGGATAACCGAACAAAAACCACTTTTAACAAGTTCAAATGAAAACAGCTAAACCGAAGACGATTTAAGAGAAACATCCTTTTGTAACCTTCAGACCTGAAGGCTACAACTCTGTTTCCTTAACTATCTCCACAGCACCTACTGTGTTTTCCACAATTTATCCCAGTACTAAACTCACTTTGAAAGCAAGTAATTAAAGGTTTTGAAGGGTGCACAGTGCTGTCCAAGCTACGTTTTAATATTTAGTACAATAAAGAAATTGTGCCCAAAACATCTTCCACTGTAATGAATTTAAATGCAGTCTTTCCACCAACAAAACCAAACAAAATCTTTGTAGCCTGATGAAAAAGATACATCTCTTCAGTTACTGAAGCACGGCATTTTGCTGAATCTGTTGGTTAGCCACAAGTCAACTTTAAAATAAAGATGAAGGAATGCTTATCACTCGCTGATATGTTGGATGATCGCACATAAACAATGATGACATAAAAAATTATTCAACTATCAGTTTAAGAAACTTTTACAGACAATGTACGTAGATGTTTGATGCACATGTGAACTCAGCTTGTAAGAAGGCCCACCAGAGAATGTGTTTTTACCTGAAGCTCTGTGGTTTTAATGTTGATTCGACTTTTATGAGAATGTTTTATTCGTGTTTTATTGAGTCTCTTTTAACTTTTACCTTCAACTGTTGGTTTGGATTGTTAACATGTAAAAACAGGAACAAACTCTCGGTGATTGTCAGGATGTGCAGCAAAACTGCTGGCATACAGAACCTCACTGACTCAAGGCGAGGTCAGTGAACAAGGCCAGGCTGATTCTGGCAGATCCTGATCACCACTCCATGGTGAGTTCAGGTGGCTTCCATCTGGACGCAGGTATCTGCTGCACAGATGGAGGACGAACAGACTGAAAAACATATTCATTCCTGTAGAGATCAGGCTCCTCAACGAACAGTGATGATTTCTGTTGTTATTTTAACGTCTCAGTGTCTTGTCTATGGATGTTTTATGTACTGACTGTGAAACAAATTGCCTTTTGGGGGTAATAAAGATTCTTGAGCTGTTATGAATTCATGGAAAAATTGCAGTATATCTATAATGATGATGTTGATTGTAGTTTATTTGTCTTTGGGTTTGATTTGAGGACATTAAGAGAAAGTTAAGTTATAAGAATGTCCTTCTCCCTGCTCTGTCAGGCGGTTTTTTATTGTTTATGTATTTATTTTATTGTCTTTTGGGTTTATTGTTAGATGTATTCCCTTCTGTTGTATTTTTTTGCTTTCTTTATTTAGTGATTCTTATGTTTTGGTTATGTTTCTTGTTTTCATTGATTTTTTTCCCTGTTCTGTTCAGTTTCTTCTGTTATCAACCACTTCTCCCACCATCCTTACATTATGTCATTTTCCATCCATCCTCTGTCTGGTATTGTTGTGCTTTGTGCCACTTCTAGTTCTCCCTCCTCATGATTTTATCCTCAGTGCTTCCTCGAACTTGTTATTTTTGCATTTCTTGTGGATGCCATGTCAGCCTTTTGTTTTATTAATGAAACCTTAGGTTTTATTTGAGTTTAAATGTGTCAGTCTCCTGCGTTCAATTCTCCACAAACTGTGACAGGTTCCCTTTTCAGGATGTGAAATAATTAAAATGCAGATCTTTTACGTAAATGCTTTTGTTGCCTGATAAAACAAATCTCAGATGTTCTGGTTTTTTAAGGTGATTTTAATTACGGCCTTTACTATTAAAAGGAGCATTAAGCAGCAGCTGACATAAAAACACTAACAAATAAAAACGCTGATGGTTTTTGGTGATAGATTTACTACTGCGAATGTAAAGGCAGGACATATAAAGGACCTCATTAGTTATTAAAAAAGTCAAATAAACTACAGAAACCAGCCTTGAGGGGTAGAGTGTGCCCTTTTCATGTATTCATCCGGCTTATGATGCTTTCAAAGAGTATTAAATGACATAATATTGGCACTTTTGATTCTGTAAACTCATATATTAAGCCAAAGTTAAGTTCAGTTTGTGCTAACAGGCATATGACGAGTGTGATTAAAAGCCGACACGGGGGCGGTGTTTATTTACGCAGATGCTGGTGACTCAGTAGAATATGTTCTGCTCCTTCGTGTCAGAACGAGATTTACGAGGAGGCGACGAGCAGGAGGGAAGAAATGTGGGAGAGAATAAAAGGAGAGAGAGGAGATTACAGCAACGCTATGAGACAATTTACTTCTTCAAAGAAAACTTTTCAGCACCGCACAGCGGAAGGCCTGAACTCCAGTAGCATGGTTATGTGCAAATGTGACGATGCTTTGTGTTTAATTATCTGCGCTTAAGTTCATTTACATGTGTCTGTTGGAGTTCAGCTCCATCCTCACGTTTAAATACTCACAGACACAAAGAGGCCGGTTTGCTTCCTGCAGCCTCAAGTGCAACAGTTTCTCTTTTAATCTCTGCACAAAAGAATTTTAAATACCAGCAAGAACGCTTTTTACAAGATAACACAATAAGAAGCTTCGAGGAAAATAAACTGCAACAAGATATAGTAAAAATAAAGATACCCTGATGGTTAGATCTGAGAAAACCTAATTAGACCCATCTCTCCATCAGCTCACCCGTATATCTCCAATGCAGCATATAACACACTATAGGATTTTTGCAGCCCCTGATGTTAAGAATTGACATGTTATGATTCAGTAGCTGCTTCCAGGTTGACCTTTTTGTTGCTGCCTTCAGTTTACAAACTGCAAAATCAATCTAGCATAATTCAGCCCCCTCCACACGTGCACAATCCACTGTGCATTTCCCTATGCAGTTAACTCAAGCATTGATTGGCTAAACATCAGCTGACATGGAAGTGGAGGGTCTGTGCCTGTGCATGCGATATAAAAAACAAACCACTGATCAAGCCGAGCCCTGGAAACGATTCGTCAAACCAACATATTGATCAGCTTTAGGTAAAACAACCACCGCGCTGCAGTGATTGAAAGCTGCAGCTCAGTCAACATGTTCCTGCAGCAGGTAGAGAATACCTGCACCATGAACGTACCCTCCTCTGTACGTGGTTTCTCCATCTCTTAAAGTTTTCTGTGAAGTTTAGGCCAAAGTGCGCAACGATTTCCCCTTTTCTGTCGTCTTCTCACACACAGATCGCCCACCTGTTGTTGTTACGTCATCACGCACACTCATGCACACCAACTGTGGGAGCCTCCTTCACAGCAGAGGGACGATCAGAATTAGAACAAGGTGACAACTATCTGACATTTCAGGGCGGATGAGAGGCAACGACAGCCCGGTTAACGCTGATTCACTCAGAGCATCAAGCTGTAAATGTTCTACTAACTTCATGTTCCCATCTTCACGTCGAAGGACCCCAATCACAGGGAGGTGAACCTCTTTAGTTTGCAAAACCAAACAGAAAAAAAACATTTCATATTCAATCAAAGGTGTATCATTTAGTATCATCTGCCCCTTCTCATGCCAGAGTTTTAAACTAAGATAATGTTGAGATATGAGGGAGCTGGACTCCACCAGGGCTGCCCGTTGTCACAGATTCTGTTCATAACTTTTATGGACAGAATTTCTCGGTGCAGCCAGGGGTCGGAGGGATTCCATCTCTGCTCTTTGCAGACCATGTGGTCCTGTTGACATCATCGTGCCGTGATCTTCAGCTCTCACTGGAGCGGTTTGCAGCCGAGTGTGAAACGGCTGGGATGAGAATCAGCACCTCCAAATCTGAAGCCATGGTCCTCAACCAGAAAAGGGTGGCTAGATCTCTTCAGGTCGAGGGTGAGGCTCTGCCTCCAGGGGTAGGAGTTCAAGTATCTCTGGGTTTTGTTCACGAGTGAGGGAAGAATGGAGCATGAGATTGACAGACAGATTGGTGCAGCGTCCGCAGTTTTGTGGACTCTGTGCTGATCCGTTGTGGTGAAAAGGGAGCTGAGCTGCAAGGCAAAGCTCTCTGTTTTCCGGTCAGTCTATGTTCCTACCCTCACTTATGGACACAAGCTCTGGGTAGTGACAGAAAGAATGAGATCGCAGATGCAGTCTGCTGAAATGAGTTTCCTCTGCAGGGTAGCTGGACTCTCCCTTAGAGATAGGTCGAGAAGTTCAGTTCTTCAGGAGAGACTCGGAGTAGAACTGCTGCTCCTCTACATCGAGAGGAGTCAGTCGAGGTGGTTCGGGCATCTGTAAGGATGATGGGCACCTCCCTAGGGAGGTGCTTTGGGAGGAGACCCCGGGGAAGACCCAGGACACGCGGCCTGGGAACACCTTGGCTTCCCTCCAGAAGAGCTAGAAGAGGTGGCTGTGGAAAGAGATGTCTGGGCCTCCCTGCTCAAGCTGCTGCCCCCATGACTCGACTTTTGAACAAGCAAAAGATAAAAGATGGATGGATGGATGGATGGATGGATGGATGGATGGATGGATGAATGGATGGATACTTTGTCTGTGTTGCTCCATTTGCCTTTTTCACAAAAGCGTTTTTTATTCATAATTCAACTGTTCTGGAGCCTTGCTCGATTTTTACGACAATACACAAAACTTTACATGAAGTCACATCAAGAACTTGAACATTTTTTTAATAAAAAAGAAAGAAAAAACAACAACTCCAGCATTTTTAGCTCTTTCTCTGAGTCACCTCGACGAGAGTTTGATTCATGGGTCAAATTGTTTTATGCAATAATATTTTTAAGTGCATAATTTTTATATTCAAAGTCTATCTAAGATAGACTCAAACCTGCTTATAAAACATTTTAAAGAACACCCCTCACTTTTCACAACAGTTTTATTTAAGGTGGCCAACGTAGCGATCCACCATAATGACACAGTGAGATGTGGTAATGCTCAGAGTACACGTTGAGGCTGACCCTCAGCTACTACAACACACTTTGCATATTTGTAATTCTATGTAAGTTACACCCATTTTATGAAGGCAAATATAAATAAGCTG